AATGTTTGCTTCCTTCCCAACTCAACTGCTCTGATTTTTAACAGCAATATAGTTTCTTAACCTCAATAGTATCTGTATATTTTAGCAAATATTTGATATCTAATAAGAAGGAGAAAACCACACACAACCATCTATATTATGTAGGAAATTTGGTGCTCTGGGCTATGCAGTATGATGGAGATGGAGATGGAGTTGGGAAAATCCTCACCCCTTTTCTATTGAATAATTGTGCTTTTTCTGTACTCTATTTGGGTCCTCTGTGTTCTCATCAGGTGGATGTATGACCTGGGGCTGTGGGACCTTCTTGAAGCTCCAGCAAGAGGTGACTGTGGGTCTACAGGGAGGAACATTAGGGCAAGAGCCAGGAGCTCTTCCTGGGTACCAGTGTTCTGAGCCATCCAGGGTGAGTTCCTTTTCCTGCCTTGACCTGCACATCACTCAGGTATTCACTATCATTTTTCACACATGCAGTGGCCCAGGGCCTAGGGAAGTCATGGTAATCATTGCACAGTTTAGGTCCTTGTGGAGGTTATGGTGCCCTCTGTAGAGCCACTTTTCTGTATAAGAAGAAGGCCTCACTGGAGGCATCCAAGGCTCCTCAAAGAGGAGCTGGGCCTGGTATAATGGGCAGGACTTAGGGGGCTGCATGAGAGAAGAGGGAACAGGGGTCCAGCCTGCCTGGAGTGAAGAATGGAGGCTTCCCAGGAGTGTAGACAGGGCTCTGGGATACCTGACTAGACACTACAGGGGTCTGAGGCCATCAAGATCTGGAATCAATTGGGGAAGGTTACATTTGTTTTAATCAGTCGCTGCATAGCAACTTTATACTCTGAAATTGTACAAATTTGGTAAGAAGGGATGTGCCCTGCATGCCTCTCTCTGGCCATGGGGGCAGGGAGGAAGCAGGAGCACTGACAGCAGTGAAATGGCTGATGTTAGTTCCACAAACCTTCATTAAAGTGGGAAGCAGACATCATGGGGAAGGATTTACCAGTAATTGAGCCTTCATGCTGTGTAGAAATCAGACACCCACTTTAGTTTCTCTCTGACTGCAGGTCCTATGGACTCCCATTTGCCATGGGAGTTCTGCCTTCATTCTAGAGTCTGTCTGTCTGTCTCTTCTTTCGACAGGCTGGAGCACAATGGCATAATCATAGCTCACAGTAGCCTCGAACTCCTGAGCTCAAGCAATCTGCCCACCTCAGCCTCCCAAGTAGCTGAGATTACAGGTACACACAACCACACTCAACTCACTATGTTGCCCAGGCTAGTCTTGAACTCCTGACCTCCAGAAATCCTCCTGCCTCAGCCTCCCAAAGTGCTGGGATAATAGGCATGAGCCACCACGCCAGGCCTAGTGTCACATTCTTAATTAGAACACTCTCTCCATAGGGTTACATTCTCTCCCTGCTTTCATTTGTTTTTTCTCTGTATCCACCCAGAGATTTTTCAGGAGGTTTTCCTCTTTTGTTGCCTCAGTTCCTTTCATCAGCTTGGTGAGTTGTATCACAACTCAACACTGCTCTGACAACTTTAGGCACAACCTAACACTTTCACTACCTTTCACACGTTGCATTTTTGTAGTTGTTTCTGCAGAGTTAAATGTATAATCCTACCCAACAGAGCTGCATTTGTTGACCAAAAATCTCCTTGTGGTTGGGCAACTTGTGTGCTATTATAGACTCATGAGCTCACCATACTTTACTCAAATGTGCTTGTTATTATTGTCGGCATTACTTGATCTTTCAACCGTGATCTGTAGGTTCTCTGCACAGGATTTACCCTGTGATGTAATGGTTTGTTTCTGGATTCCAACTGTATTACTCACACTAGTTTCTTCATAAACAATTTGCCCTATCACTCTGGATCCTTTTTGGATACTTTCAGTAACTTACCATAATGGCTCACAATGCTGCTTTCATTTCTCTCTAAATTCATCTCTCTGCCAACTTACTGAAGAAGGTAGGGAGTAATAAAGATGCAAGGAATGATTCCTAGGATACCCTGAGTCCTTTGACCTGTGGGCAGAAGCATTTACTACCCAGGAAGTGGATCTGACAAAATGAGATGTGTGATATCAGCACAGTTTGAAGCATCTGGAAAGTTTCAAAACAAATATTTTTGTAAGGGAAGAGAAAAGATGATTGAGGCCAAGGTAGCTTAATATCCAACAAAGTGATGTTCAGATCCTAACTTGTCTATTTAGAATATGGGGAAAATATGTGCCCCTATCCCAGGATAGCTTTCAAAAATTTATTGATACATATATTTATGGATAGTAGATGCCCTAAACAGTGGTGAGTGCCTGCATGCCCAGCTCTTTCCAATGGCATGGTCAATAAAGTCCAATAGCATCCACCACTTATAGTAGTATAGTCTTTAATATTGAGGAACAATCAGATAGCATTATACTTCTTGCTTCAACCATCAAACAGAATCAGGCAATCTCAAGAGCAATAGGAAAATCTAGCCATATTTTTGTTTTTTCTGTTGCTCTTTCTTCCTTCCAGATGTTTCAAGTGTCTTTCATTTGTCAATTCCTTTGATAAAAGGAATAAGGAATTTTAAACTTTCAAGGACATGTTCAATCACAATAACTAAAGAAATGCAAATTTATATCCTGACCTATCATAATGAAAAAGGCAAGTGACAAAATTTGATCTCAATTTTGTAGAATAAGACGTGTTAGTGGATGTAAATGGACATGTTTAATGTATTTCATATGTATGCATGGGTGTGTACATATATGTGTATATGTAAGTATATGTGTTTATATATATATACACACACACATATACATAGATACACATATACTTACATACACACACACACATATATATAGTGGTAGATCTAATTCCTGCCTCTACTTGGATGAGTGTGACCCTGTAGTAGTGAGTTACCCTTTATAGACCTGACCAGGTCACATGTCAAAAGGGCGTATTACTACTTCACTGAGCTGTTGTAAGGAGAAAATAAACAATGAGAAAACCCATGGAAAGTGTCTAACTTGTAGTACTACAACAATTTGTTGCACGTGTATTGCTTAACTGTGCATCCTTCAGTGGTTACATTGTCATTGCAAACATCATCAAGAGTATTTATACAAACCTAGATGGTATAGCCTACTATACACCTAGGCTATATGATATAGGCTATTGTTCCTAGGCTACAAACCTGTATAGTATATTACTATACTCAATAGGCCATTTTAACACAAATCTCTCTGATAGGAATTTTATAGCTTTATTATAATCTTATGGGACTGCTGTCATATATGTGGTCCATCCTTGACTGAAACAATGTTATGCAGCACATGACTGAATATATATTGGCCTCCTCTGTTTTCTTCCTTCCTCAAAAGACATGACTTTAACATGAACATATCCTAGGTATCAATTTGATTTGAAGCAGCAGGAAATATTTTTATATATTTCTATGATAGAAAAGATTTGTTTTCTCTTCTTTGTAGGACAATTTCCCTGATCACGGAGTAGAGGAGAAAGCAAATCATCCCCTCATTACATTTTATTTTATGTACTTTCTTACCATCTTCTTTTACCTTCTATTTGACCACTGGAATAGCAGCCTCCCATTGAGGCCCAGAGAGGAGAAAGTACAGAATGGCAAAACATAAAGATGGGTCTACCATACCACAGACTGAAATCAGGAGACCCAGGTCCTCAATACTAGATCCCTCCTGTGTACAGGACAATGGGAAGTTACTTCCCTGTAGTGGCCTCAGCCCTTACACAGTAAAACTTTTATTTCCCAGTTGTTAGGGACATGGGCTTTGGAGTCTGATTGACTAAGGAGAAAATATGTGCACATTTAATAACTGGTTTCATAATCTTTAGCAAATATTGGATTTCCTGATAGATGAAACCCATATGTCATGCATACACATTAAATATGCCTGCAGAAAGAATAAAATGGGAGAAACTGTACAAAACTGATATATCATTCAAAATTAATGAGTGGTCAGGTCAGAGGTTAATTATTTATCTCTAGACTTTGCTTTCCACAATTTCTAAATTAGTATTAATCTTTTTGAAAATCAGGATTAAGGCTCCTAGAAACTGATTGTTATGAAATATTTCATAAATACAAAAATTATATACCATAATAGACTTCTATACACTCATGTTAACATATGAAACATTACATATGTAATTCAAACTCACATTGAAGTTTTCTCTGAGTGCATTAGACTTTTTCCCCACAGGTAAATGCTATGAGGTATTTGGGATCTATATTTTTAAGATGTTTATACTTTTATTATGTATGTATGTATCTGTAAATGAAATATGATATTGTGTTGTGGCATGGTTCCATCTCTTTCATATGTGGCTACTTCATTGAATAGGAGGAAGGAAGAAACATGAGGAGAACAAATACACATTCACATTTCAACAGTGGGACTTCCATATATGCCTCCTTGTCATGTGTAATCTCTTCTAGATTTACTGAAACAGACACACCAATTTTCTGAGTCTATACGCTTTAGAGAGTACTAACAAAATCTGCAAAAACTTTTTCAAATCCTTTTTTTCTTGAGTTGTTCAAAGAGTTTCCCTGAATCCAACTATCCTAAAACAGTGTCTTGCTATATCCTGATATGAAACATCTTCCATTCGTCCTGGCTCAATTTTCTGTTTTTCATTTAAACTGTTACTCATGTAGGCTTGTCCTGCACATCTGGAACTTAATGTGGGTCATGCTGGTGAAAAAAGACAGTAATTGCCTAGAGTTAGCTTTAATATATCCATACTCTTACCCAAATTCCTTGATTGGTTTAGGAATGCATCCAATTTAGATCTTGGTCTAATTTTGTATTATTATTATTGCTTGGCATGAATATGTTTTCTGTACTATTTATTATTTTCAGTTGCACAAGGAAGGTACTTCAATGATGTTTTAATTCACATGTGTTAATTGATCCTGGGACAGAACCCACAGGGCAGTGGGATAATGAATCAGTGCAAAGTGAACAAAATTAAGAGGGAATGTAGAAAACTCTTTATGGAGCTTTGAAGGGGAAGAATGAGATCAAGGGAGGGAAAGAGAGAGAGAACATGAAGGGCAGGGAGGGGAGAGGACATCTTTGGCCTGTCATTAAATACATGATAAGAGGTCCAAGGAGGAATTTTAGAAAATCTTCAATTTTTTGAAACTTGGGCAAGTTTAAAATTTAATGTGGGCCAGGCGTGGTGGCTCACGCTTGTAATCCTAGCTCTCTGGGAGGCCGAGGCGGGCAGACCGTCTGAGCTCAGGAGTTCAAAACCAACCTGAACAAGAGCGAGACCCCGTCTCTACTATAAATAGAAAGAAATTAATTGGCCAACTAATATATAATACAAAAAATTAGCCGGGCATGTGGCACATGCCTGTAGTCCCAAGCTACTCGGGAGGCTGAGGCAGTAGGATTGCTTGAGCCCAGGAGTTGGAGGTTGTTGTGAGGTAGGCTGACACCACGGCATTCTAGCGAACAGAGAGACTCTGACTCAAAAAAAAAAAAGAAAGAAAAGAAAAATGGGTAAAGGATATGAAGAGGCAGTTTATAGAAACAAATACAAAGAACAAATAAACATATGAAAATATGTTCAGTCTCATGATTATGCAAAACAGCAATGAAATTAAACATATATTTCAGATTAGCAAAATTAAAATTTAATGAAACCTAATACAAGGATATGAAGAAATGAACAACTGCCATATATGGTTGTTGAAAGTGTAAATTGCTACAATATATTTAAGAGTTTAATAATTATCAAAAATTTAAATGCACATGTCTTTGCTTTCTGGTATTTCATCAGATAACTCAAATATATATGTACTAGGATATTCACCGCAAGATTGTAAAAGCATTAGAAACAAAGATTTGTCACTAGGTGGCTGGTCACACTAACACACCTATAATATGAACTAGTATTCAGCCATTAGAAAGAATGAAGTAGAACTACCTGGGCTGATATGAAAAGAGCTCTGATACATTAAGTGTGAAAAAGGTACAGAATAGTCTGGCAGTATGATTCTATTTGTGTTTATATATGTGTTATGGATTCATAAAATTTCTTGATAAATGACAAATACCTCTGGAGAGTAGGACTGGGGTTTGGGAAAGAGAGAAATTGATTTAAGTATCTTTGTATATGGTTTTGGCTTCCTTACCAAGTATATGCATTTGTTTCATAATTTTTTTAAAAGTTGCTGCCTTGTCTTTTGTTATCTC